TGATGTATAACATCTCTAGTTCTAATCACAATTAAAGTAATTTATGCCATCTTATCCATTTTTTAAAATCTCATACTTACCTAGGCTTCATTTCTAGCAACTTTCTTACCGTTTTTTAAAGTAATTTTTTACTGTGAAAAATTCTTGAACTAAAAAACTTTTGTACTAAAAAAATGATTTAGAAAACAACAATTAAATTGTCCCGAATAAAACCCTAAAGAAAATTCAGGCACCACAAGAGAATCAAATGAACATTTTTTTATATTCACAAGATTTATTTTTTAAATTTATTCAAAATAAAATAGCACGTGAGATAGGTAGAACAACAAGAGCTGGCAAATGATCATTACATATCATCATCAAAGTCCTCGGTAAATTGAGTAATAAGGAATTTGTGAATGAAGGGCATCACACAACTATTAGGAATTGTGGCATTTTCCAACAGCTTGGAAAGCTCTGTATCATTCCTCACAGCAAGCTGGATGTGCGTAGGATCTATCCTCGTCTTCTTATTATCCTTTGCTGCGTTTCCTGCCAGCTCTAAAACCTGCTTAAATTTTGTTGTAGGGGTGACCATGAATCAGATACCGAAGATTCAAAGCAAACAAAAGCTTCTTTTGATGCTTAATTTCAAAAGCAGCTTTTTTTACAAAAATTTCTTTCTAATTCAAAAATTTTTTTACTTAAAAATTATTTTAGAAGGTATATTGGTTTTGCTTTGAGTTGAAGTAAATTAATTTTTTTAAGATTAATAGGCAAGTTTTGAGCTTTCAATTAATCAAAGGAGAAATAAATTAATTATGATTTGATTACTGATTAAGATAATTACCTTTTTATATCATATTTATGAATTAATAGGAGTTTTAGCAATAGCATATCTTGAATAAATTAATTATGATTTGAGTAAAAAAATTATTTAATCAAAATAAATAGGAGTTTTAGCAATAGCATATCTTGATGGATTTTGTATTCATTTGAGATTATTTTTCTAATATGTATCATTAATTACATTCATTAGTGTTAATCCTAAATTAATTAGATAATATAATTCAATTATTAATTAGATAATATAATTCAATTATTAGACATTCATTAAAATGAATTCAGGAAAAAAGTATGATGAATGGATAATAATTTAATTGTATTTGTCTAAATGTTTTAATTATATTATCTAATAGTTTAATTGAATTAAGAGATAATATGTGACATGAAAATAATCTCATACTACATAAAATATATTAGAACATAATGGTATTCTTTTTTCAATTAAATTTGAATTAGATTTTTTTTTCTAAATTTTCCCAAATTAAAGGTAACTAAAATTTTCATATTATTTATACTTCTAAAATATAAAACATAATTTAGAAGATCAAGCTCTGAAACAGGTGGGAAGAATTAAGATAGACCTCAGCGGCAAGGTACTCCAAGACGGCGGCGAGGTATACCGGAGCGCCGGCGCCTATTCGATCGGCGTACTTTCCGGTCTTGAGGAAGCGGGCGATTCTGCCGACCGGAAAACGAAGACCGGCCTTGCTGCTCCGTGACCTCTTAACCTTCTTATCAGAATTCGATGAATTTGTCTCCTTTTTTCTACTAGCCCTTCCCCTCCCGCTTCCTCTTCCTCTTCCTCTTCCTCTTCCGGCCATTGATATCACTGCGA